TCTTGATAATTAAAAACGAATCAACAAAATAATACAAAAAAATTGCTGTGAAGTTCCGTATCAGGCAGCCCCCAGCTGAGCTGCATCATTAATTAATGATGTTATTCCCCTCTGATATTGAGGAAGATTAACTATGTAGTTTACCTAGCGGATAGCTGTTTTACTCAACATGTTAATAATCTATTGTTAATTTGTACATTTTAGTTAAGAAACCTTTCTGAGAAAACAGAGAGGGCAGAAAAACTGGATCAAGGTATCAGGCGCCTTCTCCCTCTCTCCTCTTTCTCTTCCTTTCTGAAACCCAGACTTTGGGGTGTTGCATATTTCAGACGTGGATGTTTTTGCTACACTGCTGCTTATTTACACATTTTGTTGTTATTTAATTTCTTTCGTTATCATTATAGAAACATGACCCCAACCACAGTTATCTGTCTCCATGAGGTCACTGGCTTGGTCACCGGGCACAAAAATGGCGCCCTCTGCTCTTACATTCGTGTAGAGACCCCAGACAACTGTCAGCTTGTATAATTAGAACCCGATTACAAGACGACCCACATTTTCACACCCTTTTTAACTAGAAAAAACCCCCCAAACTTTTCTTATATTCAGACCATTACAGGGGGAAAAAAGCACAACAAATCCTCTTTAAGTTCCCCTCTGATTAAGCAGCTTTAGACAATAATAACATGTTAAACTCACCCCCAAAAACACACAGAAGAAAAGTCAGTAAAGTTCCAAAGCAAAGGATCCCAGTCATGCTTGTCCTGAGGACAAGTTTCGGGTAAATAATGGGAGAGTTACAGTCACACACAAAAAAAAGTGCAAATCTTGTAGGTCTACATTCCATGAAGAACCAATGAGCTAAAGGCTGACAAACAGTACCTTTGCTCACACTTGCATTCCTAAATAGTCTGATCAGGAAACAGATTATCAAAACAGGTTCAGGCTCAACAAGGTGGTGTCTGGAAATCTTAAACATTCAACTATAAGCCCCCATGTTAGAATGAAAAAGTATTTTTCTTAGGGCCACCAGCCCGTTAAATTGCTCTCAGATGTCCCGAAACAAAGAAACAGCTTCATGCAGATTCACAATATTATTTTGGCCATTTGAAACTCAAAGAGAC